CAGAAACTCGAAAGCACAGGCGCAAGAGCGGAGGGGGTGTGGCCAAACAACACAAACAACACTCGTGGAATAGGAAAATCAGAGGAATGAAAAAAAACTGAGAAAAAAAAATCAAAAAGAAGAAATTTCGGAGAAGATGAAAAAACTGAGAATCGAAGAAAAAATCAGAAAAATCTTGAAAACATTTGAAGAAGAAATCTTGAAAAACGCTTTGAGCCAACAGACGCCGGGAGTTTGACAGATGAGGTCTTTACTGATGAAGTGGTGAGAAACACTTACAGTATTTACAGTATTCACAGCAGTTAAGGCGACATTAAAGGGACAGTTCATGCATTTAAATCAGCTGCTGTACAACAAATTACACAAAAGTTTCACAAAGAGTTACAAAAGGGTGCGTTACATCAAAATCCCAACAGACCCCAAAAATAAATTTCCTCCTGGTCAGAAAAGTAGAAAAATGTGAGCACAGGTCGTTTCTGGACAGTTTACAACTGTATTTACAAGAAACAGGAAACAACACTGCTTTGTGTTCAGCAGGATTTTCACACCACATTTACACAATTTACATCAGAAGATACGTTTGTAAAAGTTTGATCCTCGTTTCGCTTCAGATTTAAGGAGTGAATCTTTCCTCAGTTGCCAAAACAAAGACATAAATAGAGAAGTTAAAAAAGTTTAAAGTGCAGATTCTGTCGGAGGAAGCAGCCACGTTGATTCTATTGCTTTTCCCAGAAACACGTCAGTGAAGTCTGTGATCACACAAAGAGACGTAGAAACAGATTTACAGAAAATCAAAGATGTCCTTATTTCACTTTCATTTCACCACGATGATCCGGAGTTGTGATATTTATTTGGAAATGAACTGCTCAACTCTGTCGCCCCCTGGCTGCAGTATAGGTAATAATCCCTCCATGTTAGTAGATGGGACATGGACCCAAATAAAAAAGGTTCTAACCAGACATGAGATAAATGTTTGTCAGCGATGGTTTGTGGTCGTGGTTCTCATCACACTGATGTTCTGGACTTCAGCGTTCAAGATGAAATAAAAATGATTCTACAGATAAAACTGTGACCAGATGTTTCCTTCTTATCTGATGCATGAAATATATTTAAGACATCAGGAGAGTTTGTGTTTCTCTGAGCTGTGTTGAAATACAGGAACGTTTAACATCTGTGTGAAATGTTGGATTATATGAAATCTTTGCTGATGTGAAATATACAGAATATTGAGAAATACTGAATATTAATTCCAAACGGGAAATACTTGTGATAAACCATATGTACATTTGTATAAAAAAACTTTATCACAAGAGAGAAAAAAATGTTTTGGCAACTGTGAAACGTACGATGAATTCTGCCACCTAGTGGACACGTGTGGACTCCTCGCAGGAGGTGTTTCTCTTGAACTTGGAATCTGGCCGAGCGTGAGTTTGTCACGAACACACGACTCCGCAGAGTCCGTCGACACCGGAGGCAACAGAATGTTGGCTGTTGCCCGCGGAGGCTAATTCATCATACCGTTGAACTCTGGGTAATGTTGGCGGCAGGAAGAGGAACGGAGGAAAAATGGCGACGCCTCCGGCTCCAGTGTAAATGTGAAAAGTGTTTTTACTGATTTAATGTGCAGCTTCCACACGACGTTTGAACTCGATGGTCGAAGCTCGTTTCATCTCAGAGAAAATCTGACGACGGACGAAAAAAATCCAGAAACGTGAAACGACAGACTTCAGCTGCAGGGACGAGCTCTCGCCTCCACAGAAACTTTATAAAACACTTTTACCTAAAATATATTAGAGAAAAATATTTTTGGGATGTTCACAACAATTCATCAGCTTCTCTTTACATCATAAATATCTTTTTCTTTAAATACAATTGTGGTTAAAAGTTTTCTGCCTCTATGTTCCAACTGATTTTGGTTTAATTCTCTTCAGGAGACGATAAATGGAAACGATCAGGTGAAAGAATGAAGTTCGTCCTTCAACGAAATGTTTCAGACTAAATGTTGAAAAAGAAAAAGTTTAGATTTAATGCCACGATCAAAAGTAAGTTTAGAGTGTTAGGACCACGGTTCAGAATAATTCAAATGAATTGAGACATTTAAAGAATAATACGTCAAATCATGAGAATCAAATTAAAAGAAATGTAAAAAATATGGCACAATTATGAATGAAGTCATTAAAAAAATAAAAGCACATTTGTAAAATTACTAAATTATTTTGAAACTTGAAGTAAAACTACAAATTTATCATCATTTTTGAATATTTCCTCAAATAATATCTCAAAATATGGACTCGGTCAAATTTTCAACTTTCTTCTTAAAGAATTTTAACTTTTCCTCTAAAACAAATTTTGAATTTATTCTTAAAAATCTTGAATTTCCCAGCGGCCCTGATATCATGATGTAGCCTGGAAATAAATATGACATGAAGCCAAAACCATCGGGGTGTCCGCCTCCTCCATGTTAGTACACAGGACATGGATCAAACTAAATTAAAAAGTAAACCACAAATAGATATTTTCCAAAAGTTTCTGCTTCTGATAAGTTTGGTTTTAATTTATTTCCTGATATAAAATCGGAGTGAGTGGCTTCACTTTAACGATCTGAAGTATTTTGGCTTCCTGTTCGTTCAGTGGGGGGGAGGGGTCATCGATCGTCTGCAGACTCATGAACGTTGTTGTGTTTTTAACCTTCAGCGTTTCTCGTGTTTACCTGAAGACTTGATTGGTTTACAGCGTCCAATCAGACGCCGGCTCTTCCATCAATCTGTCTGCTTCTTAAATTCTGAGCTCACCCAGAATTTCTCTCTCATGAATTAGTAAATAAATCCGTTTAGTTCATTTAAAACCATTTTGCGTCATTCTTAAATATAATAAAAAAATCTCTGGGAAGGAGGCAGAGCAACCTCGGAGGTGGTGCTGGAGCGTCGGCGTGTCGATACCGGCGTGCGTTTGTTGAACCTGTTGGTCAGTGAAGCTCCGTCCGTCTGCGCTCGCTCACGTCAGGAGGGCGTGTTTGGGGGAGGCCTCGTCCACCAGAGCCTGCACCATGACGCTCACCTTCACCAGACCCTTCTCCTCCAGGATGTGGTGAGGAAGACACAGTTTGTCCTGGAAGAGCAGAGCAGGAAGGAAGGAAGAAAACGACAGAGGCCAGAGTGTGGAGGAGCAGAGACACAGGATTTAGACTCAAGGAAGTTTAGAGCAAGAACAAAATGTGAAGAACAACAGATCTGTTCTAAAGAGACCGTCTGAGTTCATAAAAACCCGTCTGCTTTCAGGAAATAGCCACAGCCTCTGAAAGTTACTGTCAGTTTTTAAAATAAAATGAAACACAGGTCGAAATGATTAAATAATAGTTAAATAAACAGATTGAATCATTTTCCTGAAACCTCCACTCACACGTCGGAGCATTCAATCTACTTTGATTCTGTTTTTATAAAACGCACGAGACAAACTGAGAAAACCTGAAACGAAAGGAATTTTATTTTCTCACTTTCTCGGCATGAAGATTTAAAAAGTGAAAGATCTCGAATAAAGATGAAACAACTTGGTTTTTCCTTTAAAACCTTAAAACAAAGACACTTGAACACAACATCCCTAAACTGTATTTATTACCTCAGACTCACACGGTCAGTTATCGTACACTGATCTTAAAAACACTTCCCCTCACACATCAGCACAAAGTTAACGAATCTGCAGCGAATGTGGCAACAACAGAAATCTTTTACTGCGAGAGTCAAGAAGCAGAATAAAATCAAACCAACCACTGGAACGATCACGTTCGTACGTGTCGTCATAGAAACAAGCAACATCAGCGAACACACAATCAAAGAACCAATCAGCTGCCAGAGAAAATCATTTCTGTAAAGTCGCAGCGAGGAGAGAAAATATTCACCTTCCTCCGTTTTGAATTCTCTCAGTAAATATTCTGTTAATCGTCCGTATCAAACAATCGGTTTATTAAGAAGACTGATAAATATCTAACGTCAAGGCTCAACAAGTGTTTGTAGCCCTTCAGGGGTTCTCCTCCTCCTCCTCCTCCTCCTCCTTCTCCTCCTCCTCCTCCTCCTCCTTCTCCTCCTCCTCCTCCTCCTCCTCCTCATCGTTCTCCTCCTCCTCCTTCTCCTCATCGTTCTCCTCCTCGCAGCAGAGTTCATGGAAACGTTTTCAGGATTAAACTCAGACACAAAATCCACCCACCTGACTGAAGTGATCAATAATATATTTAACTAGTGAAATGATGTACAACTAGTGAAATGATCTACAACTAGTGAAATGATGTACAACTAGTGAAATGATCGATAACTAGTGAAATGATCGATAACTAGTGAAATGATCTTCAACTAGTGAAATGATCTTCAACTAGTGAAATGATCGATAACTAGTGAAATGATCTTCAACTAGTGAAATGATCGATAACTAGTGAAATGATCGATAACTAGTGAAATGATCTTCAACT